AAAATAAATTATTTTTTATAAAATAACTTGAATAAGCCGGCTGTAACTGTCTTTCATTTACATTTTTAAGAAAATTAACTTGTGAAATTTGATTTGCTGATCTAGATTCATTAATAATTGCAATTTAAGATAAAGATATGATAATATTTGTTGTCTACATTTAAATTTTTAGGGTATAATTTTGTTGTTATTTCATACAAGTGTCCATCATATTATTTTTTTTAATTTAATTTTATAAGGACAACTTTTAGGGCGTCCGTGGCTGAGTGGTCAAGGTCGTTGACTTCAAACCACTTGCCCCTCACCGCTAAGGGTTCGAATCCCGACAGGGACTTTGGATTCTTTCATGTGAGGAAGCTATCCAGCTAGCTTACGGAACGTCGGTGGTTCTACTCAGGTGCCCGTTCGTGCCTGAAATAATGCACGGAAGGGCACCTGAGGTCTTCCTCCACCAGTAAAGCTGGAACGTCGCGATATGACCTATACTGTGTCGATGTGACGTAAAACCCAAAACAAAACAAAAAGCAGTAGCAAAAAATCTACAAGGTTGAGTACCAGTTACTTTGTGATATTTTGCATGTATAGAAAGTTGCTAAAGCAGAGACGGTATTCCTTTAGCCTGTATATTTGATTTTTTGCCAGAGGGATGAAATGTGTTGTTTTGGGGCTCCGTCCACTGTAGATTTTGGGCTTCAACGGAATGAATTGCATTTTTTTTACTGCCTGCCTATTGCAGATGGGATAATTTCTTTGTAGATTTGCAATCTTATGTCATATATGTTCTCAACAAAATGTGTTTTCTTTTTCCAGGTTGTGTAGTTTGGTATCAGAATAAATAGACGTATTACTTGTAGGACATTGACGGCTGAGGAACTTGAAATTAACTGTAGAGTGCTACCTTAAACATGTATGAGTGTGACAATTTCTATGACCATGAAAATACAAGAAAGAGTAATTCGGACATAAATTTGGATGTAAACAATAAACTTCAAGTTAACAGATCTGTATGTCAGAACTAAAAGTACAGAAATGATTGCTGATGCGAACCCTGTTGGTTAGATTTTCTATCAAGAGTTTGTCCAAATAATACTGGTTAACTTATGTCGGGTGATGAAAAACCCTCTGGCACTGAATATTCAAAAGGAAATTTTGCATCTAAAGAAGAACAATGCTGTGTTCTTGCTAAGATTGGTTTGAACAATGTAAAAGATTATAGAATAACACACAGAATATTACGACAAAGGATAATTTCTTTATTCCGAAAAGTACAAACAAATGAAAAAACTGTTACACTGTTTTGTGCCTGGATAGTGTGATATTAGCTATATCATATTTCATAGAAAATATTGTGGATGAGAAGTTGTTTGCTGTTGGACATATATGTACAATAACAGAACAAGTACATCCTTTTTGTGATGTTGGATACCATCTCAGATGATCTGTTAAGAATGAAAACTGAAGAGGATGTTCATGTTGTTCTAATAGATAAGATAATTGAAGAAGTGTTTGTTATTCAAACTGAAAATACATTTTTTAAGTTAGTTGTGTTCCAAATTTGTTCAAGTGACTGGCGTATTTTAGATTGCATCATTTGAATCGCAGTTTGAGACAGTAAATTTATATAAGTCTAATATTACAAAATACAACTTTAATGTGACATTTAGTGTTAATTATTATAGGCACAATCCCTGTGGTAGTGATTTACGGGTCACTTCTTCAAATCTGTCTTTCATAATAGATACTAAAATGATATGTTAACTAAAAAGTATTGATTTCGGATACAAATAAATTCAGATTCTTTCATAGGTGTTCAATTTCATGAAAATATTTTCTATTCCAAGATATTTTCCTTTGTTTTGATAAATTTTTTCAAGTTTAAGTAGTATTTTCAGTAACTCTTGTCTGCCAAAAATGGTGGATGGCGAGTTTGAGCTCTGCTTTGCAACCATAACCTTCATATGAAAAAATTGGTAATTCTTAACTGAGTTTTTTTTTTACTTGCGCCAAACTGAAGTTCAGCGTCCTGTATGGAATATTTTATTTTGTCTGTTGTATATTTGTAACTGGTAGGAACATAATTATGTGATTTTTGTACCTAAACTTTTAGCTTACCTAGTAATTTAGCTTTTATGGCTACAGTAAAGGGTAATATATCCCACTATCAATTTATGCCTCATATTGTGGTACATAATCCCCAGCTTCTGAAATTAAGATCCCACCTTAATTCACCATTTTAATTAATTTTGCTACATTTACTTCTTCCCAGTGCCCTTTGATGCTTTATATCAATGCTTATCTTGTATTCCGATAAATGCTGTAAAACTGTTGAAAATGGGGACAATATGTTTAACCTCCATTTATGGCCTGGCAGATGGATTCTAGGATTATAACCAAGGAGATGCTGAATGATGAATCATGCTCTGAGCTGTCTGAAAATTTTGTTATATTCAAAATTCAGTCATGTTTAAACATGTTTGCTTTCCTATAAAAAAATTGTAAACAAAACAACTGAAACTATTCTTTTTATCAGTGTTTTCACAGAAAGTAAAATCCTGTTGTAAGATGTAATTTAAAAAATGCTTATTTGTTAAAAAATATTGACTTGGAATTTATCATGTTCAGCCATGTTTGATCATGTATGACTATGTTATTCTCTTAGTAATAAATGGGTCAATGTGTCAGTAATTATTAAAGCGTTTAAGGCTATTTTTACACAAAGTTGAAATGTATGGATACTTTTTTATCCAAAAGAATAACTTATTTGATGAAAGTAACAAGAAAAAAGAGAGATTTGTTTGATTTTTTTTTTTATGAATTTATCATGTTTATTCATGATTGAATATGTTGATTTCTTGTAAGATTGTTTGCAGAAAAAAAACAATGTTTATGATTTTTACCTCTCCCTGAAAGTCATTATAATATTAGTTGAAATAAATACAGATGTTTTATTGAACAAATTGTAATTTTCATCCACAATCATGTTTGATGGTCAAACATGTTTATAAGACATGATTGAGCAACATGGTCAATGAAGAAAAAAACATGTTTGTACACATCTTATCATGTTTAATCATGTAACATGATTTCTTTTTCGCTAGGGTCAGTTTAGAGTCTTCAAGCAGGACAGCCTGCACATTCAGCAGGCTCTATATTGATGGCAATTTAAACTAATTACTTTCAGTTCAAGCAGTTGAAATGTTAAGTGCACAATTACAAGATTTTCAATTAACAATGTTCAAAGTCATGTACTAATGGCAATTACAGTGCCTGTGTATCTTGATTTAGTGTGTAGGTTTAGAGAGACTAAAAGGAATCAATTAAGGAGTAATTTAGGTGATTGATATATGATAATAACTTCTTAATGACAGGGAGAAAAACAACATAGAGGAAACTAAGCTTTTGAAATGGTACCTAATCTGTTTCATTTCCATGACAATACTTTCTCTATTTATTTCCCTTAATGCCATCTTGTCATATCAGTGTTCAGTAATCATAATGTAAAGTGTTTTACAAAAGAAAATAGCAATATAAAAACTGACAGAGACATGAAAAACATTTTGTGATGAAATAACTGTGAGTTAATATCACATTTAATGTTGCAGGAGTTGCAGCCCCTGTAAAATTTTAATTGCATGTTCAGTGATTTTAGTACTTTGATTTCATAACATACTTGCTACTTAAATTTCTACTAATTTGTTCCTGTATAAATACATGAGGAAAGATAGTGTGGAAAAATTGTTACCTTTCATATATTACTTACTTCACCTCTGAATGCTAGCTGCAGTCATGACTTGCCTTTGCTATTTAGTTACTGTAGTTTACTGACAAATAGCCCCACCCTAATCGCTTAAATATTGTAAATGTACTTGTCCTAATCTTCAATCAGGACAAAACCATAATTGATTTGTTATTACTAGTGAAAATTTCAATTAAATGTATACTGACTGAATAGTGAATGTACAGTTCCAAATGTACAAATTTAACAAAGTCTTCTACAACTATTGACCTGGGAAATGGTTAATTAAATAATCAACAAGAAACAATCTTGACAGTTTTGAAAGATTACATAGCATTTCACTGACAAGAAAAAGGATAATTTTCGTTTTTCTAAATTTCTCAAAATGCGACAAATGTTTACCATATTAAGTCTTCTGGAAATCAAAGACACCCAAGGGAGCCATGTCTCTGACATATGTCAAACTAAATAGCAGTAATGAATATTCACAGCTTATAGTTATATGCATTTTATTGGTAAATGGAGAAAGATGAAACCAAATTGTCATCTTTTTATTACTGTGTGAATACATTTCCACTGGAAGAAACAATCTAGTTTTAAATTAACTTTTGATGAAATGCAAATAATGTAAATGTTAGATGTTCATTTTCAATAATAAATGGTAGTTTAATGCAACAGTATTTTTCTGTATTATTGTGAATTTGATTAGTTGTCATGAAACATGGCGTAAAACTCATTAATTCTAATTATAGAAGCTTTGATTGGTTGAAATGCATTTTGTTGATGAATTTCATTGTCAATGTAAATTTGGTTACACAGATTACAATATTGATTTAAATGTACTGCGTTGATGAAAAATAATGTCCCCCCATCCAAGCCCTGGTGATGGATGGGGGTCATTATTGGAGTAAAAGCCGGAGGCCGAGCATGTATACGTAGCATTGACGAATGCTATCTCTTACAAGTCGCATTTTAAAGAAAACGAAAGTGAAAGTACAATCGGAAGTACCCGTCACGTGACCAATACCCATAACCGGAACCGGTGAACCAGTAAACATCAAATTTTTAAAGATAACATGTTGACAAAATATCCATAATAAGGGTAGGGCTGTAAAAAACCCAAAAAAACCAAATGGAGGGTGGTGTATACATGCTGGGCCTCCAGCTTTTACTTCAATAATGACCCCCATCCATCACTAGGGCTTGGATGGGGGTACATTATTTTCGCAAAAGCCTCTGGCTTTCGCATGTATACGTAGCATCTTTAAAATTTGTCAACAAGTATACAAAATTGTCAACCAAGAACAAAAACACAAACTATTAACATTATACTCACATTTACTACCCTGAAAAAACCAAATATACAGATTAAATATACATCATTTCATTTCTGTAACAAAAAATATTATTTGTCATATCAAATTGACCTTTGTCAAAAGGTATCAATTATGAGAAAACAGCCTGAGCAAAAGATAACTCTTCATCATTCAAAACGGGTCTGTAGTAAAATTTATAGAAATTTTTGTCAGATTTCCAATCAGCTGCATCCAGTAAAGTTTTCAATGTACATTTATGAAATGCAGCTGAAGAACTGGCAGACCTATATGAATGAGCCTTAAATATACCAGTGTCAATACCCGCTAATTCTAGCACAGTTTTTAACCATCTTGCAATGGTACTTGTAGAAACATTTTGAAAAGTTACATAAGAAATAAAAAGTTGTTTAGATCTCCGTAACTTCCTAGTTACGTTAATGTAAAATAATAAAGTATGAAAAACACAAAGAGATTCCTCCTCAAAATGTTCTAATTTCACACAAAAAGAATTAGATCTACTAGATCTACTAGTTTTTAATAACCCCGGAAAATAAAAAGTCACATGATTCGCAGCACATCTCATAAAATCCAAGTTCATAGAGACTAAAGTCTGAGCCCTAGGAGCACAACTGAGGGCTATCAAAGCCACTAATTTTAATGTTAACATCTTTAAGGATAACGTTCTTAAAGGATATAACGTTCTGAGAAAGTTAAGCACTACAGTCACGTCCCAGGTAAATTTATAACGCAACTTAGGGGGATTTGAATGAAAAATCCCTTTCATAAATTTAGGAATAAGCACAGTATTACCACACCAAACATTTCCAAAAAATGGAAGTGTTTGCAATAACATAGCTTTATGTGTGTTCAATAATGAATAAGACTTCTTTCGCAAATGTAAATGATACAGAAAATTGACCACTATCTCTTCAGTGGTACAAAAGGGATTTTTACATCTTTCACAAGACCAAATATACCAGTTTTTCCATGCCAAATTGTATTGTTTGTGTGTTCCTGGTCTCCAGGCTGAGGTAATGATATTAGCAGCTCCTGATGAAATGCCTCTATAATTGAGTGCCTCCCTGATAACACTACAGCGATCAGGTTCAAAGATTTGCCGAGCGGATGTACTCTTCCATTGTGTGGGAGAACCAACAGGTCTTTGTGTCTCGGCAGCCTGACAGGGAGAGAAACAACATATGGTAACATTAATGGAAACCAAGGTTGTGATTTCCAATATGGTAAAACTACCAAAGCTTTCTCTACTTTATCTTCAAAAATTTTATTTACCACCTTACTTATTAAAGCAAAAGGTGAAAAAATATATGGTTTGTAAGAATTCCAAGAGACAGAAAAAGCATCATTAAAAATAGCTCCTGGTTCAGGGTACCAAGAAACAAAACAATCTAACTGTTTATTTATCCTGGATGCAAATAAATCTATATCAGGTGTAAAGAAATGTCTACATAATCTTTTAAAAATTTCAGGTTTCAACATCCATTCAGTAGAGTCTGAAAACTGTCTAGAATAAAAATCAGCAATAGTATTATCTATCCCTGCAATATGTACTGCTGAAATGAAAATGTTCTTCGGCAAACACCAGTGCCAAATATCTGACGCTAATTTATCTAAGTCTAAAGAGGCCATACCTCCCATGTCTTGAATATATGTTACCGCAGTGACAGAATCACACTGAAATTGTAAATGAATGTTTGTGCACTTTGAATACAAAGTTTGTAGAGAAAAGAAAATTGCCAGTAATTCTAAATAATTAATATGATATTGCAATTCTAATGATGACCATCTAGCCTGAGTAACCTTTCCAGACAAGAGGTCAACACAACCAAAACCTGTAAGCGAGGCATCTGTCCTACAATAAAAATCAACCTTATTTGGTCTAATTTGTTTACCATTTTTAGCTTTTAAATTGTTCAACCACCAATTTAAGTCTTCTATACTTTTCTCAGACAATGTAATACTTTTTTGAAAATCTAAACTTTGATCTAAACCTAAAATTTTATCCCTTTCTAAGTTACGATAATGCATTGGTGCTTCTAAAACAGCATAAAAAGCATTAATTATTGATCCAATAAAAGATGCAAGATCTTGTATCACTACATAAGGTTTTTGTAATAAGGCTCTGGCTTTTGACAAAATTTTCTCAATTTTTTCTTCAGTTAAAAATACCATAAATAAGACTGAATCAACAATGAATCCAAAAAAGACAATTCTTTGACATGGAATACATACAGACTTTTTCTTATTAACTGAAAAACCAACTGATTCTAAAGTATTACAAATTAATTGTGTATTCTGTGCACAAATATCTTTAATCTGATTCATGATTAAAGAATCATCTATGTAATATGCACAGCGTACTCCATGAAATCTTAGCCATGCATAAATAGGCTTTAAAATTTTTGTGAAAACCCTTGGAGCTGAACTTAAACCAAATGGTAACACCTGATATTGCCAAAGTGTATTATTCCATATAAACTTTAAATATTTTTGATAATCAGAATGAATTGGAACTGAAAAATATGCATCAGATAAATCAACCGAAGTAAAATAATCATCTCTCTGGATAAGGTCCAAAACTATTTTAAAATGTTCTTGCTTGAAATGTTCATATAAAACAAACTCATTTAATTTCTTTAGATTAATAATTGGTCTGAACTTTCCATTAGGCTTTGGAACTATAAAAATATTCGAAATAAATTCACCTTTTTCATGACTAGAAGGCACAATTGCCCCTTTCATATATAAATCTTGTACCTCTTTATTAATAATAAGCTTTTGATCATGAGGAAAAGATATTTCTGATGGAATACATTTTTGATGAGGAGTACATATAAACTCAATCTTATAACCTTGAATGGATTCTAAAATCCAGGGATCTTCGGTAAATTTTTTCCATGCATTTAAACATGATTTTAACTTGCCTACCTGTAAAACATTTATTCGTTTGGGTAAGTTGCAGTACTTGTAGCAGAGGCCGAAGGTCTTCGCCTCCCTCTAAAAGAGCCACGATAATTGCCATTGCCATATTGATTATGCTGCTGGTTGTAACCAGTATAGTATGGACGGCCACGCCTTTGGTGATACGAGCCTCTGTAACCAGGTGTTCTTCCCCTGAAATACCTGTTTTCATATTTAGGAAATGCTAAGGATATTCCTGTATCGCAATTTTTTATTTCCCTGCCAATATCATCCCCAAACAATTTCTCAGTGATTGGAGTTGACTGACTACAAATATTTTTATATTTTTTCTTGAGATTCGGGCGAATTATGTAACGTCTTCGCAAAGATAATTGGTATTGCACCTGACCAAACATGGTTACTGCGTCAGAAATATATTCCTTTGCAGGTAACGATAAATCTGGGCCCATTATCTCAGCCAACTTAATAATTGGCACAATTCCTGCAGCCACTAGGTTCTGAATCTCGACCAGCAAACGGTCATAACTTCGGCCTTTCTTTTCTAAAATTTTCCAGACTTCTGCATTTACAATTGGTGGCCCTAAATTTGAACAATTCTCAGGAATTTGGTATTTTTGCATTATCTCTTCAATACAACAAGCAGACGTACAAGTTGAATTTATCAACTGAGCAAGAGAAGGGGAAATGGACTTTCCACGCACAACACTTTTAAGTTTGGGAGGCGCCCATTCATTTAAACCTTGATCATTATTATTCGGGTCTTTTCCCCCAAACATAGCATCAATAAATTTGTTTGACATATTTTTCTGTAATGGGACAACGTCCTCAGAAATTTCCCCATCTGAAATGTCCTGAGAATCTACTTGGATTCTTAACGGGGGTTGTTTATTTACGTCAAAATCATTATCCCCATAATAATCATCATCAAAATAATTAGGGACAAACTGAGACTCATCCTCAATTTCCCAATTGTCACGAGGCTGGGGCAAAGGGCGCTGATTACTAGTTTTATTAGCATCTGAAGATCCCAGACCAAGTTTCTTTCTCAAAACATCTAAATCCTTGGCAGATAAACTATCAAAATCAATAGATGCCCCAGTATTTTTAGCTTTCTTAGAAGGTTTTTTAGGGTTCGACTTCCCCTTCTCTTTTTTACTTTTATCAACTTTTACAGCCTTTGTTTTTGTACCCTTCTTACATGTATGTGTACTTTTATCAACAGATAAAACAATAGGATCAAGAACAGGTTCTACGCCTGTTTGGGTATCATTATCAATTTCAACATTAGCACCTACATTAGGTACCAAATACTGAGCTTCAAAGCCCGAAAACTCAGAACTATCAGACGAATTTCCACGTGCAAAATTGTTACCACGTGCACGCTTGTTGCGGGGTTTCTCACCCTCACTCGAGCTCATTTTACAAATAAAACTCTAGACTACGTCTAAGAGAAGCTCGACAAAATATAAAGAATAATAAACTAAAAGCTTACAATGTATAAACCGAAAACTTCCTATAAAAATTAAGTTTTAAATCGGAAAAACTACTTCGAAAAAGAACACGACTTGTACTCGAGAACGCAAACATCAATAATGATGTTTACTGGTTCACCGGTTCCGGTTATGGGTATCGGTCACGTGACGGGTACTTCCGATTGTACTTTCACTTTCGTTTTCTTTAAAATGCGACTTGTAAGAGATAGCATTCGTCAATGCTACGTATACATGCGAAAGCCAGAGGCTTTTGCGAAAATAATGACCTTGTGGCACTTAAAAAGATATGTTCACATGTAGGTAAATGATGCTTCTTAAAGGCATATTTTTTGGTTCACAAAGTGAATTTTCTTACAAAATTAATTAAAAGAGCCTGTCAAAATGTTGTGACTGAATTTGTAATACAAATTCAAAAATTCCAAAACACTTGTGTATCATTATGTTTCTGGGTAGAAATTCTGAGTGATTTTGAGAGGTAGATTTTTAAGTTATATATTTGAGGCGTAGTTGATAAAATATTTGTTTTTAATGTATTAGCCCTTAATCTGCTAAATCTCTGAAATTGACTTGTCCATCCTTTTTTTTTTAAATTTTCCATTATTATTTGTGTGGATATCATGATATGAAGTTTTAAGTAGAGACTGGTCAGACTGTATGGATGTGCAAGTTGACCTAGCTCTATAATTAAAGCAACAAAGGCTCATCACGTTTGGTTCCATCAAGATATATTGGATAAATTGACCAATGATAAATTGGTCATTGAGTCCATTTGTCTGTATTACACCTACTATGAACATACAAAAAAAGGCATATATAAGACATGTTTTTTTCTCGGTACAGTAAATAATTGATTGACGGTTTAATCTTGTCAATATTGACCTCATTGTTTCAGAAGCCTAACAATCAAATTGCACGTAACAAATCAATTGTATAAATGACGATAGATAGAAGCTCCGCTCTCAGAGATAAAGCATTTTCTGGATTGTCCCGATGTCACATGGTTCTTTTATTCACTAATCTCGATATACTTTTGTTTTTTTTCTCCATATTCGTATAAGAAAGAAGCACAGGCGGTATATCAATAATATCAATAATCTTATTGTGTAAGAAAATACCAAGACTTTACAGATATCTTATAGGCCCAATATGCCTCAGGAATGGTTAAATTTTTAATTCTCAAAAGTTTTTTTTTTTTTTGGTATCCTATTATAAATTCCAAAAAGATACTGACATTAACCAATTACCTTGACCATCTTTTGCTTATGTTGTCTTCTGGCAATTAGTACAATTATAGTAATATAGTATTTGTATGGAAGTCTAAATACTACTTTGTTCACATTTTGCTACTAGCTATTATGACAAAAAAATCATGTCCAGTGCTAACTTTCTTCAAGTAATTGACATCTATTTAAATGTTTTTAAATTCATAATTTCTTTTTATAAAGAAATACAAATTTATTCATTTCTGAGGCATAAAGTGCCTTGTAGTTTAGGTAATGTAACTTATGTAATGTTATATGGTTATAAATGTTTATGTTTACAAAATATAGAAGAGAAATATAGCATAGTAAGTTCAGACACAACAAACATACTATACTACATATCCTAAATTATAAAGTCATTTGTATCATATGTAAACAAATGTTTTACACATCATGGATATCTACAAACATGAAAAAAGGTGGACAACAATCTTGTGATTGATGATTAGTATTGCAGGCTCTTTGAATTGGTCTATAATGGAAGAGGTCTGTAATAGAACAAAATAAATATTAGTATGTTGATAGTTTTTAGTATCAGACATAACAACAAATCACGAAAGAAATATATATGGTTGTTGTTGGCATTTAAGTATCATAAGAAATGTATTATGTGGTTTTTCTTGGCAAGTGTCATTGTGATACATGATGTAATGTTAGTGTATATATAACATATATTTATATAGCAGATAATAAAGTGTTCTTGAACAAAATATTATTACTCATCATATAAATGTTTGATCATCCTTAGAGATCACTAAAAATTTTATCAACATTTCTTTCTAAGAAATATTTTTTAAGTATATCCAAAGGATACAATTCTTTTGGGTTTTTCTTTTATTTATATTTGAAATACCTATAAAAATGTGTGTAATGAATGACCAATCCACTTTAATAACATTGGTTTTAATGCTATGTAGCATTAGTAATTTATTGGTGTTGCTCATATGAGATAATGGTCCTACCAAGGTCACAGGCACATCCATGCATCATATAATATGCTCGCAGATTAAGAAGATTAGTCCCAAGGGGCTGCAAACACCATACATGTATTTAGGGAGAGAAGTTGTTAACAATTCTATATCATGAATATATTAACAAAAAAAAGGGAAACACTAGTTTTATCTCATAAATTAACACGGTGCATCATAAATGAATATTTATAAGGGACGACACTGATATGCTGCACCTCTGGGACTAATTCTCATCAATGAATCAGTTAGTGAAAAAAAAAAAAACGGCAAAAAAACAATTGAGATCCGATACTACATTGTTTACCATTCTATCATGAGAACAATGAGAGTTAAGGTGAGACTTCATAATCCATGGAGACTAGACAATGTTGCATCAATATTTCACGACAGGTGCATTCATGATGAATTCGATGCTCATAATGATTATTAATAAAAAAACACCTCGTGCCCTGCAGAGTATCTTAAATGTATTGCACACTCGAATAAGTGATTAATCATTAATGAATAATTGATGTAATTGAAATTTATGTCCTGTTCTGCATACGGCTATCCTATAACTCTAAAAATGGTTCTATTTACAGCTATGATCCATGGGGAATATATGTAACAACAATTCAATATGTCACAATATTGAAGATGAAATGCAGTTGTTTTTGTTTGTTTTGTTTTTTTATGCCCCCACAATGTGGGAGCATATAGCGTTGCACTTGTCCGTCCGTCCGTCCGTCCATCAGTCCTTCCGTACGTACGTCCCGAAATCTTGTGAACGCAACTCCTCTTAAACCGGATGGCAGATTTTGCTTAAACTTACAGGGATGAACAACCTTAACGTGTAGATGGTAGTAAAGGAAGGAATTTTTGCTGCGACCAAATTTAACAGAATTATGGCCCTTTGTTGATTTTTTCACTAGATACTATGTAGAAATTTTGTGAACGCAACTCCTCTTAAACCGGATGGCAGATTTTGATTAAACTCCCAGGGATGAACAACCTTAATGTGTTGATGGTAGTAAAGGAAGGAATTTTTGCTGCGACCAAATTTAACAGAATTATGGCCCTTTGTTGATTTTTTCAGTATATACTATGTAGAAATTTTGTGAACGCAACTCCTCTTAAACCGGATGGCAGATTTTGCTTAAACTTACAGGGATGAACAACCTTAAGGTGTAGCTGATAGTAAAGGAAGGAATTTGTGCTGCGACCAAATTTAACAGAATTATGGCCCTTTGTTGATTTTTTCAGTATATACTATGTAGAAATTTTGTGAATGCAACTCCTCTTAAACCAGATGGCAGATTTTGCTTAAACTTCCAGGGATGAACAACCTTAATGTGTAGATGGCAGTAAAGGAAGGAATTTTTGCTGCAACCAAATTTAAAAGAATTATGGCCCTTTGTTGATTTTTTCATTATATACTATGTAGAAATTGTGTGAACGCAACTCCTCTTAAACCGGATGGCAGATTTTGCTTAAACTTCCAGGGATTAACAACCTTAATGTGTAGATGGTAGTAAAGGAAGGAATTTTTGCTGCGACCAAATTTAACAGAATTATGGCCCTTTGTTGATTTTTAGTTTTCAACTTGTGGCACATGTAGTCCAAAAATATTTGACCTAGAGTCATAAGATTGACAGAACAGTGGCGTGTGGGGGCATCCGTGTCCTATGGACACATTTCTAGTTTGTTTTTTTTTTGTGGGGGGGGGGGGGTAAAAAGGAAAAACGCAATGTTCTTTATAAATAATTTATATACATTTTCACAGTAATTTAATAAATTGGTGCATTTCCTTATGGTTTTTTTTTTCCGTAGGGCATGTGTTTCCTTACTTATTGATGGCAAGTGAGAAATATACTTGTGTATAGATCTTGTTGAGTATCATATTTAGATATATGTGATGAAATTATTTGTTTGTAAGAAGACCAGCTTTATGTCAATATATCATATGTGATATATCAAATGATATGTCATAGCTCACAATGGAATGGTCAGCTTCCTTTATAAGGCCAATTTAAGAGGAGTACAGTAAATCAATTACGAGCAAAACGTTTGACCAGATCTGAACGTAAATTGGTTATTTTCATAAATAGTGTATTTTTTACATAAATATGCGTGAGGTACTAATCAAATTATGAATTTCTAGCTGTGCAGAATAAAGATAAGTAAAAAATGATAAAGAAACTTAGGGAGGCAGCATATCCTAGATTTAAAGTAAAAATTATCCAAAAAAAAAATTAGACTTGAGAAAACTATATTGAAAGTTGCAGAACTGTATTCACAATCCAGGTGATATTTGCAAATATCATGAAAATAAAGAGTTTACAATTTTCATATTTGAAATTCTATAGTCATGGAGCTTTTACCAAGAATTTTATAAATTGTTCAGTTTTTTGAGTGGCTGGCATAGTTGAGTATTGAAAACATTGGACTGCTTGCCACATGAGTTCAAACCGTGTCGATCAGGCCTTTAAAGCTGTTATATCTGTTGTAACTAATAATAGTTACTTGAGCTAAGCAATTTGCTTCCGCTCTAATTTCTTGCATTGTTATATTAACACATATAAATTACACACAGAAATTATTATGTGATATTTATGATAAACATCTTTGCTGATGTCAAATTATTTATCCTAAAAAAGGATGGCCATTTTAAGCATCTCCAGCATAATAAATCTATTTTTTTTAAAGTTCCACATGCCAGAAGAATTGCTTCAGGGAAAGTGGCATTGAAATAGAACTGTCTTAAATCAGTAAGAATTCTGT